GCACAGCTACAACAAAAACTCAGCAGATGTGTTCTGTAGAGCTGAAGTCACTTCACACCGCCTTTGCTACGAGCATCGAAGCTATGATTCTGCCATCAATAACGTCACATCAGCCAGCCAATCACATAAACTTGGACTCATGGAAATTTCCAAGAAACATCACACTAGCTGATAGCACATTTCACAAACCTGGTGGCATTGATTGCCTCATTGGTGCAGGCATGTTTTTCGACCTTTTGCTGGTGGGCCAGATGAAGCTTCCCAACACCTCTTCTGTACTCCAAAAAACTAAGCTGGGATGGATTGTGTCTGGAATAGCCCCGCCATTATCGTCTTCGTCACCATCATCATTGCATACAGCCTCGTCGTTACCGTTTTCGTTGTACAAATCATTCATAGCTGTTAGCAATCATCCTCAACTTGATCATCTGCTCGAAAAATTCTGGACTCTCGAAAGCTACAACGAGTCTTCAAGGTTTTTGTCAGCGGAAGAAAGGGCCTGCGAGAAGTTTTTCGAAGCCACAACCACACGATGCCCTGTCACCAATAAATACATCGTGCGCTTGCCATTAAAGGAAGATCCACAGACGCTAGGCCATTCATACGAGACTGCCCTTAAAAGGTTGCTCGGTCTAGAGTATAAATTAGCACGCAATCCGCCGTTGTTGAAGCAATATTATGACTTCATGGGTGAGTACGAGTCCATGAAACACATGACTGAACTTGAGAGCAACACGAAAGGGCGCTACTTCATCCCGCATCACTGTGTGATGAGAGCAGACAGTAGCACCACGAAGTTTCGCGTCGTCTTTGATGCATCGTGCCGTACAACGTCGGGAAAGAGCTTAAACGAAATACTTCGTGTTGGTCCCACTCTGCAGGACGACATCTTTACCATACTAATTCGCTTTCGTAGTCATAAATATGTGCTCATGGCCGACATCGCCAAGATGTACCGTCAGGTACTAGTGCACGAAGCTGATACGCCTTGGCAGTGCATAGTGTGGAGAAGCTCACCCGAAATCCAACCGAAGGTGTACAAACTTCAAACGGTAACTTATGGCACCAGCTGCGCGCCATACCTGGCGACTAAATGCCTACTTCAACTTGCCAGAGATGAGTCTTCCCGCTTTCCAATTGGGGCTGCCGTCACACTGAAGGACTTTTATGTCGACAACTTAATGACTGGTGCGTCAACGGTCAACGAAGTTATCGCCATAAAACAACAAGTCACGTCGCTCCTCAGCAGTGGTGGTTTCCCACTACGCAAATTTGCATCGAACCATATGCGCGTCATAGAGGACGTACCCCAAGAAGACAGGGAAAAGAGCGTAAAACTGGGCGATTCCGAATACGTGAAAACTCTTGGGTTAAAATGGTCACCAGTAGAAGATATTTTTATCTTCAGCTACAACAATCGTTCGTCGCAGTCGAAGGCAACCAAGAGGTCCATATTGTCGCAAATAGTCAGCTTTTTTGATCCGCTTGGTCTTCTCAACCCTCTTATCGTCTCGTGCAAACTACTCATGCAACAATTGTGGGAGCTTATACCAGACTGGGATGAAAGCGTGCCACAAGATGTCTACACTCAATGGCGTAACTTCCATCAACAACTAAATCGGATCGACAACATTCAGATTCCAAGGTACGTTCCAATTAACGCTACTACTGAAATCCATGCTTTTGCAGATGCTAGCTCGAGGGCTTACGGCGCTTGCATTTACATGGTTACCCGCTCCTCTCGAGAAGCAGTGTCATCGTTGGTGTGTGCCAAGTCCCGTGTGGCGCCTAAGAAAGAAGTGAGTTTACCCCGCTTGGAACTGTGCGCTACAATGCTGCTAGCAGAACTCCTTCAATCTGTGGTGAACATATTCACAATTGAGTCAGAGCTCATCCATTGTTGGACTGACTCAACAATCGCCCTGTGCTGGATTCTCGGTGAGCCGTCCAGGTGGACCGTCTTTGTGGCCAATCGCGTTTAAAAAATTCAGCAGCTCACCGCACACTATACATGGCATCACGTGCCGTCGAAGCTCAACCCTGCCGACCTTGTTTCTCGCGGTGCAACTGTGGAAGAGATCAGGAATAACCAACAGTGGTTCCGTGGGCCCTCGTTTATAAAAACGCCGCACGAGAACTGGCCCAATTTATCCTACGACATTCCTCTAAATCTGCCAGAACAACGTAAACAGCGGGTAGTATTGCTGACAGAACAACAACACGACATCGTTGCAGAGCATAAACATGTCAACAACTACAACAAGCTGCTTCGCATATTTACGTATGTGAGGTGGTTCAGCACGAAAAACCGAGCATCTTCTATCACTGCCGAGGAAATCACCACCACCATGTTAATGATTTGCCGATATATTCAGCAAAAACACTTTCGGAGCGAGTATGACAATCTCAAAGCCAATAGATCCATCACTAAAACATCAAAATTATCATCGCTGTCGCCGTTTTTGCACAACGACCTAGTACGTGTTGGCGGACGAGTGACAAACTCAACACTCACCTTCGATGCCAAGCACCCGATCGTCCTCCCGCACTCACATCCGTTCGTGTACGCACTCATTGCTCATCATCATCGAAGGCATCTTCATGCAGGTGCGCAGACTCTTCAAAATATACTTCGCGACCAATTTTGGATCATTGGTGGTCGGACAGCAATCAGGCAAGTAATTCACAATTGCATAATCTGCTATCGTCTCCGTCCAATTGTAGCCGAACAGATTATGGGGTCCCTTCCTGCATCGCGCATCACTGCATCCTATCCATTTGAAACGACTGGAGTCGATTATTGTGGCCCCTTTCTAGTCACCCAAAAAATCAGAGGGCGAACTCCGATAAAAACCTACATAGCCGTCTTCATATGCTTCACCACCAAGGCGGTACATTTCGAACTGGTGCCCGACTTATCAACGGCAGCGTTCATTGCAGCTCTTAAGCGGTTCATAGCTCGCCGAGGGAAGTGTCGAGCCATCGTGTCCGACAACGCCACCAACTTTGTCGGCGCAAATCGTGAACTGCGTGAACTATTGAAATCCTTCATTGCTCAAGAGCACATAAAGTGCGTTGAACAGTTTTGCAGGAACGAAGGCATAGAGTGGAGGTTCATTCCGCCAAGGTCCCCTCACTTTGGGGGCCTATGGGAAAGCGCGGTGAAGCTTGTGAAGAATCACCTTCGTCGTGCTATCGGTTTGCACATTTTATCACACGACGAACTACACACCGTCGTTTGCCAAGCAGAAGCAGTGGTAAACAGCCGCCCATTGACTCCAATTTCCTCGGATCCTAATGATCTTCGGCCACTAACACCAGGTCATTTTTTGGTACATCGAACGTTGACCACTGTACTCGAACCTACGCCAACCTCCGAGACAATTAGCGCTCTGAAACGTTACCAAATCGTATGTACCATACAGCAGCAGTTCTGGCAGCGCTGGCATCAGGACTACTTAAAGGAGCTACAGCGGCGTACAAAGTGGAATACAGCTTTCCCGAACTTATCCGTGAACGACTTGGTACTCCTGAAGGAAGATACAACGCCCCCGCTCAAATGGCCCATCGGTAGAGTCACTAAAGTTATTCCTGGAGACGACAACATGGTGAGAGTAGTGGAAGTTAAAATATCAGTTGGTATATACAAACGGGCCATCGCTCGCGTTTGTAAGCTTCCCATCGACACTCCACCTGCTGACGAAATTCATTGAAAGCGCCGCGCCCCCCCGCCCCCCCCCAACAAAGAAAATCATCGTCGCCTATGCCTACTCAAA